ACAATTACTCTCTCGACCATCTTGTACTTGTGCTAGTATGGCCCCCTAAGCTAGCATCAGTGTATAGGTGAAAAGGCTTGGAGAAATCTGCATAGACCAAAACTGGGGCACTTACCATAGCAGTTTTCAGGGTGTCAAATGCCACCTGGCAGTCTGGAGTCCAATCAACCACCCTCTTTCCTTGGCCCATTCTAGCAGTGCCTACTAGGAGAGCATTCAGGGGTGCTGCTATTTTGGAGAAACCTTTGATGAACCTCCAATAATATCCTACAAACCCCAGAAATGACTGTACCTGCTTGACGGTGGAAGGGATGGACCAATTTTTCACAACAACTGTCTTTTCAGGGTCTGTGGATATTCCATCCTTGGAGATGACATGACCGAGGTAAGTGACTTTTCTCTGGAACAGGCTACATTTATGGGGCTGTAGCTTCAGGCCATGGGCAGCTAGCTTTTCGAAGACCTGCTCCAGGTGCTTGATGTGGGTGTCGAAGTCAAGAATACACCACAACATCCTCCAAGTAGATTAAGAGAGACTCGTTGACCTGCCCGCCCAGGCACCACTGCATCAGTCGTTGGAACGTTGCAGGTGCATTGCACAGGCCGAAGGGCATCCTCTGGAACTCAGAGGCCCAGAGGGGCCGTGAATGCTGTCTCTGTCTTTTGGATCCATCCGCTGGCCAAATCAAGGGTGGAATACCAAGTGGCTTGTTTGAGACTGGTGAGGGATTCTTCTATCCTGGGTAGAAGGTAGGCGTCCTTGTGTGAGGGCATTGAGCTTCTGGTAGTCGACGCAGAACCGCCATGATCCATCCTTTTTCTTCACCAGGACGATAGGCGCCGCCCAGGGGCTGGAGCTTTCTTTAATGACATCATTGTCCAACATGTTTTGGAGCAGCCCCCTCAAGTCAGGGTAGAGACTTGGTGGGATTGGTCTATAGCACTCCCTGCTGGGTGGTGCAGACCCTGTGGGGATTGAATGGAGGACTGCACTGGTCTTCCCAAAATCTTCATCACCAGCTGCAAAGACTTCCTTCCAACGTTGCAACAGGGAGTCCATTTTCTGTTGCTCTGTTGTCAATCCCTCACCTTTCAGCAGACTGACTGGATGTGGATCTTCCGTGGCTTCCGTGCCTGAATATCCACCTCAACAACCCCTGGGTCTGAAGTCTTCAGTACAAGATCCTTTTCTCCACGGATCTGGCTTGGATCAACCTGGAAGACATTAGCAAGAGGGCGCCGTTGAGGTATTAAGACAGGATAAGGGTTCAAATTGCACACCCTTATAGGGAGGCGTCCTTTCACCACCTGGACAACAGTCCGGGCCACCTGCCATTCATCATCTCTTTCTGGCCCCTCCACCAAGGCACAAAAATCAGACATCCTCTTGGGTCCATACAGTTGTGTCCACAACACCACATAGACTGGGTCTTGGCGGGTCAGCCGAGCTACTCCAATCTGTTCATCTGAAGAAGATTCATCTTGTGACACCTTCTGGCAGACAGCAAAAGCCCGTTCCCACTCACCCTTGGCCGCTTGAGACATGGTGGCACCGAACACAGTCAGCCCAAGGTGGACTCCCTGAAACAGTTCTTTCCAAAAGTATGGAATCACATTCATGCCCAGGATACCCCTCTCAGCATTTAGACACTCATCTTTGACGATAATGACTCCTTTACCTGGTACAGTGACTCCTCCCACTGTGAAATCCAAAATAGCATACCCGGTGTAGGGGATGCGTAGTCCATTGGCGGCTTTTAAAAGTCAACCAGCGAAGATCTTGTGGGCTCCGCTTCTGCTCCCCACTCAGCCATTTCTGGAAGAAATATTCACTGAAGAGTGAAACTTGTGAGCCTGTGTCAATTAAGCAAGGCAATTTCACCCCTGCGACCCCAATTTCAACCCCTGGACACGCCCCAATTATAGATTGCTTGTTCGTCTGATTTCCCTGTTTCCCCTCCCCAACCACTTGGCTCCCAGTTGCTGGGGATATCAGTTTAACTGCCCCCTCTCTGGGCAGCACCTCTGGATATGACCAGCCTTACCACAGCCTCTGCAGATAGGTTGGCCCTGTTGATCCCATTCGAAGGACTGGTGTCGGGGTGAGGGTGTATAGTGGCCCCCTTGGACGCTCCCTCTTGGGGGCGGGGTCATGTCCCTGTGCACAACTGGGTTAGTCTGTGGAGAGAGAGTTGGCATTTAATCTCTTCAGTTAAAGTTTCTGTTAATGCTTCTTTAAGGACATTCAACTGATCTTTCATTTCCTTCCTGAGTTCAGCTCTTACTGTCTCTTCCCATTCTTCAGGGCAAGGCATTGCCAAGGCCTGTCGTGGCTGTGGCACAGAGACACGTGATGCACAGGCAAATTCCATCTTCAGCTCAGCTTCCAAGGCTCTAGATTCACTTGAAACCTCACTGAAGGACATTGTACACTGTAAAAACTCTTGCATAGATCTAACTAAAAAAAATAAATAAATAAAAAATAAGGTAACATTTTCCAATCACTTTTTGCAAGTTTAGTGAACTGGTATTTTGAGTTGGGAAAATTTCATAATATGCATTTCACTATATGCTAAAAGAATAAGTAGAGTCTATGAGAAACAGCCGAGAAATTGAGTAAAATGAATGTCAAAAATGTTAGCATATTAAACAAATCAAACTTAATTAAAATAAGTAAACGGCTTCAAATAATTAGTTACAATTACCATAAATTAGCAATTATAGAGGAGCGGTATCAATTCAAGATTTATTAAATTACATGAAAGATCATGTAAACTGTAAACATCTGACGTCAGTTTATAAAGTGCTAGAAAATACTAAGTTACAAAAATATTCACACTTTAGTTTCAGATAACTTAGAAAAACAATAAAAGAAAATAAATTAATTTATCGGAATAAAATTACTTTAAAAAGTAATGTCATATGAACAGTACCACTGAAGGACTTTTTGCAGTGTAGGGTTTCTACACACCTGCCGCTGAAGCTCCTGTTGCACCAAGCCGGGTCTCAAACCCAAGACCAGCTGGTCTCGAACAGTTGTCTCATCCTGGGCCGAGCCAGCTGGTTCATGCTCCCGCCATGTGGAGAAAAGTTCAGAGCCGAAGAATGTAAGCAGCAGCGGCCTCGTCTTCCTGTTGATGACATTTGAAAAACTTTGCCCGGAGCTGGGCCACTGGGATTACTTGACCATAGATTTTCTTTAGTTCATGGAGGATAGCTGTGCTAGTTGAGCGTTTGGTTGGGTCTAATAGCCGCATCTCTCTTTTTGCTTCACCCTCAAGTGCTCCAAAAATAAAGTCAATTTTCTGTTCCTCATTTAAGCCTTGTGCCCTCAACACTGCTTGGACCTGCCTGTTACATTCTGAAAAACTCATTTTGCTTTGGTCACCATTAAAAATTTTGGGATCCATGGGACCCCACAAACCATGGCATCATCATTGCATTTATAACTGGTTGACTTACAGAGGTTTGTGATGCACTATGCCCTGCATCTTCACGCTGCACTTCATTTTCATCCATTCTACACTGTGTGGTGTGGAAAGGGAATCCTGCCAACAATGCCACTTATGTACCAAATTAAAGATATGAATCTTTAATTGAATGTTCTGATTCCCGGCCACACCAACACAATGAGAAGCACGGATGAGTTAAAATATGTTTATTTTAAATATTCAGTTTAAAATGCAATTGCTTTTTTATCAATAAAAAGATGAAACAATCAGGGTAAAATAAAACACTGTCCAAGTCTCAGAGGCAGTCACTGAGTTCTGCAAGTTAAAATACCAGACAATCCAGTCCAGTTGGTGTTGTCGTGCCGCCCGGGGTTTTCCTCGTCGCCCTGGTTGTCAGCCGAGAGAGGAGGGCCCACTCCAGCAGGCTCCCTACGCCTTCAGTCCACTCCGTAAATCCGGTGCCAGGATTCCCGCGCCGCCGTCTGCCGCTGTCAGGGGGAAAGAGTGGAATCAGCGCCCAGCCTATCTCACTGCCGGGAAATTCAAGGGTCATTCTGGCCTTTAACTAATGCACTTTCCTTTACAACATTCCGTGAATGCCCATCAATTCAACATGCCGCCGTCTGCCGCCGTTCTCCGTCATCCAGGTCCGCTGCCTTTGCTTTTTGTGGAGGATTGCGAGCGTTGATCTAGAGTTTGGAGATCTTCTTCACCAAGCTAGGGAATCACCGTGGAGTGAAGCGTGGATCCAGTCCAGCAACAGCAACAACAGCAGCCGCAGCAGCAGCAGGAGGAGGAGGAGAGTGAGAGTGAGAGGAAGAGGAAGAGGAAGAGGAAGAGGAGGAGAAGGGGACGGCGACAGCGACCTGTGCTCAGTCCAACGTCCCGCAGGTGCTTTCCTTAAAAAGCCTGGGAGGAACAACCGGTGATTGCAATCACTGATGTGATGAGGCTCAGGTGTGTCCATCTGCAGCCACAAGTGCCTTTGTTTACGTTTGAAGCGGGTAAAAGTCTAACACAGCACACAATAAATCCAGCAAACCATAAACACAATCACAATATAATAATCGCCTTTGTAGCGCACAGCATAAATCAAATAAAAAATCAATAAATCAATATTGTCTATTGCTTTCTTTATCGCACAAAAATAAACTATTTAAATAACAAAATATACAAGATACCCGATCATAACAATAAAACTCTAGCAATGTTTTGCGTCCTGTGACAACAATGTTTTGGCAAACTGGGTATTCAGTGTGTGATTTGCATTATTTCTGTCCAACTGTGTTGCTTAGCTTACAAAGCTCTCTCCCATAAGAAGAGTACTATTTGGTTGACATTTGAATCTCTCTTTCATTCATACTCTCAGTCCATCTGTCTGTCTTTGTCTGGACATATGTAAGTGAATGTTTGCTTATCTGTAGGTCTGGGTATGTTGGAAATAGAGTTTGTGATTTTATTAGTCTAGTTTCAGGTGATCTCCTGTGTTTCAGTAAGATGCTGTGTTAAAGTGCAGGAGAAACTAAATGTGTCTCTGCCTCCCTGCAGAGAGTTTGGGTGGAGAGATCCGGAGCTGCCAGAGGTAATCCAGATGTTACAGCACCAGTTCCCATCGGTTCAGTCCAATGCCGCAGCCTACCTACAGCATCTCTGCTTTGGAGACAACAAGATCAAAGCCGAGGTTTGTATCCGTGTATGTGTGTGTGTGTGTGTGTGTGTGTGTGTGTGTGTGTGTGTGTGTGTGTGTGTGTGTGTGTGTTTTCAGAGTTGTGTGAGTGTTTGATTAGGATCAGTGTTGTTTTAAAGAGAATGATTGTAACTTGGATGATGAAAGCCAAAAAAGGTGTATATCAGGAACCAAGTAAATACCTTGTTATGAGTTGCATTCAGAACAACTCAGGCTGTTTTGCATTTTCCTGCAGGAGATGCATTAACTAATCAGCTAATGTTCAGCATGATAAAACCTGCTGCAATCTCCATCATAAACTGTGCCTTCTATTGAGTCAAGTCTATAGTGGCAATAAAGTTCAATTAATCCCAAAGTCATAGGTTTGTCTCTCAAAAGCAATTTTTGAGGGAATCCCCTTAGGAACACTCTAAAAAACCCTATGGCTAGCAGCACTCTGAAACAATGGCAGCGGCATGTGTAGATGTAGTCGCGCTCAAACCTCTTTTCTTTTTTATGCACCCCTCAGCAACCGATATTACCCCCAGAATCAATAAACCAGTACATTCAAGCAAGGATGTTCACAAATGTTTTTGTTACAAAATTAATTTCAGTAGAGTCGGTCAGTAGTTTTCACTGCAACATGATTGACAAGTAATGTCACATTTGTAAAATGCTCATACAGCACAAATACAAAGAAACACACCAGCGTGATGTATGCAAACACAATCCTAAAAGTTCAATATGCAAATTGGGGGAAAAAAACAAAACAAAACAAAACTCAAAAAAATAATATTAACTGGCTTCTAATGCAGCCAATTAAACACCCACACAAACAAAGACACACACACACACACACACAGTATACACATACAAAAGATTGTAATCACTCTTACATACAAAAACATCACACTTCATTCCACTCCCACGCCCTCATCCACACAGCTCTGAAAGAACCCTTAGCGTTCATGTCTTTTGTAATGGGTGTAATTATGGTCTGAATGGAGGTATCCAACAATGGAGCAACTGTGTATTGACAGTAGATGCTTTGGTCTGCCTTCATCAGTCTGTTTGATTGTCTCGCTCAGAGCCCTCTGTGTTGCTAAACACTATTTACACAAATTAAATTGGGATGAGATATCAACCAGCCAAAACCAACACTTCACATTACATTAGATGAAAGCAGGCATTCACATGCACATATCCAAATGCACACACTTGCATACATGCATGCAATGGCAAAATTCAGCTTGTGCATTATGATGCAATGAGACACACACACAAATGTGCCCTCATCTGTATTTCTTAAATAGTTTTTAATGAAAAATAAACTTGACAGATGATCACTAAGCCAGATACAGGATATTAGTATGGTTAAAGATCCTTTTGTTAGAATGAAGCTAGATAGTGTGAAACTCATAGCCTTGCTGTGATTTTCTACTGTGATGATAAATAAGAATATTAGCCCATGGAATAAAGCACTGAACCACTAACTGTTACTTAATATGTTTACATGTTTTTCCTCCATGTTAATAGTGTTTCTCTTAAAAGAGTTTATCATAAAATTATGCATGTCACATTTGAGAATGAAAACAATTCTTCTGCTACCTCCCTTTTTTTCCGAGGGGTTTTAAAACTCAACACCACCTTCTTTCGTATTATGATTGATCACCCTAAGAGGTCGTAACTCAGATGTGTGCATGTACTGTAACACCATCATATTAATGATGGAGCACATCCTGGAACATTTTGACTTTCACTGATGTGTTTTTTCTCAGATCTTCTTTATATCTGTCAGCATTCATAAAATTTCAATTTAGAAGAAAGTTTGGGAACAAAATAAACATTTCATGGCCTTCCTTAGAGAGTCAGTGAATGGTGGTGATTTTACTATTGAAGTTTCCTCAACCTGTGTGCTAAATGTTATAAAAATGTCCATTTTTATCAGTGTATGGAGTACCTGAGTGGATCTAGTGACAGGTTTTTTTTCTATTCAACAAGTATGAAGCTTGAAGACTATGTACAAACTATGTTCTTTTACAGAGGCTACAAAACATATGCAGACATACTGACATGGTAAGAAATGGTAAGAAATATAATATTAATCAATTAAAGTTTGTATTCGTACCAGCAGGAAAAGATAATATTTTATAAATTCTGAGAGGCATATACTGTATAAAGACTAGGGCCCTGTTCTTCAAATGTGACTGAATAAATTCAGGCTAATATGTTGTTATCAAGCTAAAATGATCCTGTTAATTCTCATCCAGCTAATTTGATTCTTTTAAGGCAGTTTGGGAATTTATTTTTTAATCCTGAAATGTTGAAACCATGATCAGCAGTCATATGGTTGGGTTAGTGGTGGTCATGTGATTGCAGTTAAATGAGATACAGTAGGTGTGTTGGGAACCCTCCCAGCATGCACTGGGCCAGTAAGAATCCCTGATGGAGTGTGATAATTCAGTGATACAGTCATATCCTCACCCATTGACTTCTCAGTCCTGTGCCTCACTGTTAAGAACACATTCCTTCTTGTAGCGTAATTGATTCTTTTTTAAACTATATAATTTTTTTAATATTCATTTAATTTCTGCATCCAATTATTTTCACCCCTTGGGCAAGTTCACAATATTGTCCATTAATTGTCCTTATTGACGTCCATGATGATTTTGTCAGGAGGCTGTTTAACTTTGTTTGACGCAGGCAATATTCCAGTCAGGTAATAGGGACAGGTGAAGGGCATGACCAGGGAACGGTACAGTTTTATGTAGTCAAAACATTCATTTGTTTAAAGGAATTCAACTTCATATATTTAAGGGTACAGAGAAGAGTAGTGATTTTTGTTCACAACTTTACACCAAATAGCCCGTAATAACAAAGTGAAATAATGTTTTTTTTTTTTTTTTAGAAATTTACAAAAGTATTAAGACCCTTTGCTGTGGCACTTCAAATAATGATCAGGTGCATCTTGTTTGCTTGAATTATTTCTGAGATGTCTAGAACTAGAGTCTAGCTGTGGCAAATTGAGATGATCAGACATAATTCAGAAAGGCACACATCTGTGAGGTCCCACAATTTACACTGCATATCAGGTCAAACACCAAGCCATCAAGTCCAAGGAACTCTATGTGATAAAATTGTGGCAAGGTATACTGTACAACAGGGCAAGAAATTGAAGAAGTTTGGAACTGCAGGTCAGGGAGATGACCAACAACTCAATGGTTACACTGACAGAGTTGAAGTCCTGGGTGCAGAAGTACTCTGCAGAAAGGTAAACCACTCCATCAGCACTCCATCAATCTGGTCGAATGGCTTGATGGAAGCCACTTTGAGTAAAAGGTACAGCTCACTTGGAGGTTCCGTAATGGTATTTAAACGAGCATGAGAAAAAGATTCTCTGGTCCAATGAGACAAAAAATGTAACCCCTTGGGCAGAACTTCCAACACTGTGTCTGACAAACACCACTGCTCATCACCTGGCTAATATAATCACTATGACGAAGCATGGTGGTGGCAGCATCATGCTATGAGTATCCGTCTTAGCAGCAGGGACAGGGAGGCTGGTCAGAACTGAGGGAGGGTTGGATTCAGCTAAATATAGAGAGGTCTTTGAAGAAAACATTTGCATGTGACCTGAGACTGAGGCAACGGTTCATCTTTTAGCACAACAATGACCTGAACATGCACCCCAGCCACACTGGAGTGGTCAAGTCTTTGACCGTCCTGGAGTGGCTCAGCCAAAGCCCAGACATATACAACCAAAGTAACTAATTGGTCTGGGTCCGTATAGGATGCCACCTGGGTTCAGACCCGGACCGCAGTCCACCTATTGAGAATTATTACATTTTTATTATGAAAATGGTTGACACACAGCTGTAATTTCACTCACAGCTGTGTCTTGAATTGTTCAGAAAATAGAGATAAACAGCTTTTGAAGGTTATTCATTTATATTTATATTAATTATTTATTCATCAAATCTTCTCATTCAGAGAAGCCATTTAAATATTTGTCAGCTACTCTCACAAAATAATAATTACCACACAAGCAAAGCAAATGATAATAATTTTAAAAGTGTGGCAGGTAATTTAGGTCAGTACTTGACATTACTAAAACACTTTATTTTCAGGATTTTGAATAGTTGACTCCAGAATTTTTCTTTTCTTCAAATTGGATATCTCCAAGCAATAACCTATGATTTCCCATGATACCAAATCTGCTGAAAGGCTTACTTATAGCCCTCTTAGCTGTTAGAAACCAGAAATTACTAAATTACAGCTTTAAGTGGCTTAGTACTTTCATAAAATTTTTATATTATATCATATTTTTTTAATTATCAATGAAACAAGCACCTCTTGAATTGGCATAAAAGGAGATTTTCAAAGACTTATATGGCTTATAAGGCTTGTATGTGAGGTAGGCCACCTTACTTAACATACTGTACATTATGAATTTAGATGGAAAATATTTGGTATGAGCTGTCATCTGATGACTTCACTTATTTTCAGTCAGACAAACAGACACAGATGGTAGGAGACACACTGAGCAGCTAAAACAGCCACAACATGGCTGCCATTTGTCACTAAAGAGATATTCGGCAGGTGCAAATAGAGGAGAGGAGAGACAGGAGCAGAGACAGTTGGAAGAGACAGTCAAAAGAGGGAATGGGAGGGAAGAAAAAGAAAACAGAAATTAAGAAAAAATCACCTTCTGCTATCTTGGATCAGGTGACAAGAATGCAATTTGTAGTTATGGAAAATTATGGCAATTTTGTGTCCTTGCATTTGTCATCTGTGTTAACCTACAATAGTAATTCTGACTGATTAATACTATCAGTTAAACAGTTAAAAAATCCTGGACATCAGTACCAGCTGAGCAGGTATTCTCCGCTGCGTCTCTCACCGTTACTTCACACCAGACTAACTCCACAGCATGTCAACATGTTGCTATTTCTGAATAAAAACCACTAGACAAACTGTCCGCTATGCTGAGGATTGTGGTAGGCGTGGCCTGTTTA